ACTGTTCTAACAATAACCACAACCTCTGCCCAATTGCTTATCAAACCACAAGCCAGTAAAGTGTAAAGATCATTAAATCTTCAAGCAAGTATTATACGTATCTTTTAAAATATTACAACTAAAATATACCTAATCACTAAAATCTTGAATACAAAACTTTTAAGTATACTTGACTGCATTCTGATATACAAAAAAAATTTCAAAAGTAAAATGATACTTTCTGTCGTACAAACTGAAGCTTAATTACAATTCAACTTATATTAATATATTATAGTAAATCTTAATTCTCTTGTCTGTAAATGACAGTGACAAAAAATCCAAACATAAAAGAACATATTTTTCTTTTAAAATTTCCTTTGTTAGGGCAAAAATTATAAGTCATTTAAATCTGATATGCATGTATATGCGATACTAATATACTCACAGCTATCATCTTCCTCAAGAAATACTTTACTGAGACAAATTCCGCCAACAATGGCCATAAACTGAAACACATAAAATATATAAACTTTGGAACTAATGGCTGCGTTCAGCAGAAAAAAACAGCTTTACAACTGTTGTATAATTTTTTAATATAATTAGTCTTGCCCTTAGTTCCTCACTTTTAAACAACAATTGCAAAGCTGCTTTCTCTGCTGAACGCAGTATTGTATATATAACAATATAATAATAAAATCTACACAGTCATTATGATAATGTATTATGATAATGTACAGTATGTAATTAACTGTTTACTTACACCTAGAATACATTGTGTCGCAGCGTGTAAAATTTCTATCACTTCATAATCCAGCACGCAGTCTGTTACATTAGTAGGTCGTGCAGGTCGAAAAAGTTCTGGTTCTGTCACATCGTAAACAGCTTTGCAACCTGGTCCATTTACGTACCACCATGAAAAGCTACCAGTACCAAGATTAAGAATGTCGCTATTCTGAAAAATAATGTTACAATATTTTGTCTGTTATGTGCGTACACAATAATTCACGTTGTAATTGTATTTGTACATAAGCGTCTACTTACTTTGTCCAGTATCCCCACATTGAGATAAAAGCATATAATAAATATGTTCCATCCTAACCATAATGTATTCCATATACAATACTAAAACAAGAATCGTAATTATTTTAATAGAAATAAATAATTCATTCAATTAATAATTAATAAAAATATGTAGAAAAGACAAGTCTTTGTATGTTTCGATTAAACTGTTTTGTTATACTTTTACATAACAGAATTTAAATTATTCTTATCGAAATATTTATTAAAATCCTTTTTACTATATCTATATAAGATAGTTATTTACCGATATGATATATTTAGGTCTATACTGAAAGGCCCCAAAGAATCCTAAAATTACGAAGATAATGTTGAAAAAGTTGACCAGTATCGGAGTCCACATAAATCCCAAAAAGTCAAAAACTTGACGTTCTATTGTGGTAATCTGAAAACAAAAAGAAAATACATTACATCATAACATAAAAGCATTCAACAAGAGCGTGAAGTAATATGTGACAACATTTTAATTTCTGTTAATTCCTTTTGTGAGCGTTCTTAAACTATAGCAATTGCCCTACGTTCTATATACTCTGTTAATTAGTCATTCTGAGTCATAGCATTTAAAGGCGCAACACAGTTACACGAAAGATTGTTTCAAAACTCTTAATTGAACTTCTTTATTTCAGAACAGATTTATTTCAAAATATTATTTTTTTTTAATTAATAAAATTCAAAAATTAATATGCACAGTCGACATATACATTTTAAAATATAAAACATAATTCAAATTTGTCTGTTAATTAAAAAATTACGTATAAAAAGTACAAATATACAATATTAAAATTTATATGTCAAACTTAATAAATTTATTTTCTACATATTTTTAATTTATCAATTTATATATATATCGAATTTTATATTTTAAAATCGAAACATATTAAAATTTGATATTATAACATTCCAACAGAGAAAGTCTTCTGATATTCCAAAGAAGAAATCTAAACGTTAATCTTTATTACAATTACTTTCTTATACTTCTGACACAAAAAGCAAGTCACTCGTAGCATGGTAGAATACATTTAAAAAATGCGTCTAAGTGCAATTGATCCAATATTATAGAAGATATCGAAGATAGCGACTATCAAATGATATAACGAAATCTCTCAATATAAAAATCTCTTTTAGGAAATTCCTCGAGATAAACCGAGCGACCCAGGTCGATAAAACAATATCCGTGAATTGATAAGAAAAATGTGGTAACGGCTCTTCTTCAACTCTCCTAATGGACGCTGGTTTAAGTGCGCGTCGCTCACAGAATAACGTGACTGATACATCGTATCACAATCGAGGAAGAAAAAAAAAGACATGTGACTCGATCTGTACAGATAAAGTCATGCACAAATACGTATATAGGAACAATTCATAGCCAGACGTTACGATCGAATCAAAAGTTGGCGTACACATCCGGATTAATATGCACTCACTAATTGCAGGCTGCATATTGTCAGTAGAAAATGCCTTCTGCTGCAAATTCCCATGTCATTTGGCCGCGCTCCGCTCAACGAGCGATCTCGCGCGGTACGATCGGAGCAAATAACGACGGCACTCGCTCGCACTGCATCACTACTGCGGCACGTTTCGCTGCACCATCGCCATCTTTTGCTTTTCCCCTGTTTGTTGCTCGACTGAAACACTTGTTCTACCCTCCCTATCGCGCGCGGTATGACGGTATCACTGTGTGCGAACTGGTGCGAACCTACGATCCACAGCAAGTGGCATGCACCGTGCGCTCGTAGCTAGGCGTAGCCAGGCAACCAAAGCCCGGAGCACGCTCGTTTTGTCACGGTTGGTGAACGACTGCCACCACCGCGGCACGTGTAAGAAATTTGCCTCCCCTCCCTCAACATCGTG